GTTAAAAAAAATCCACCACAAAGTCAGTGCCCAGCTTGAAGCCCACTTTATTAGCAGGGGTGGTGTGTGTGTTGGGGTGGGGGGGCACAGCATGGAGGGTCCTCACGGATGGAGGGGAGACCCTATGGCCATTGTGGGGGGACCCCAGTATGGGGTCAGAGCTTCACATGCAGCAGGGACAGGTGGAAAGGAAAAGAAGGGGGCGTGAATGGGGGAGGGGAAAGATTCTTCCTTAAGGCTGGTGTGGATGAGACATGGGGGAGGGATGGAAGGAAGGAGAGATGAAGGAGGGGGGGAAGAATAGGAGGAGGAAGGAAGGAGGGAAGGAAGGGGGAGAGGAGGAGGGAGGGAAGGGTGGAAGGGGGCGAGGAGAGATGAAGGGGGGGAGGAAGAAAGGAAGCGGGGGAAGAGGAGATGAAGGGCTCAGCTCCATGGGGCACTGGTTCAGCACTATGGCCCTGCCCTATGGTTCATCCCCGCCCCGATCGTGCCCCGTGGCATTGCAGAGGGTGCATTCTCAGCCCTGGGCAGGCTGGGAGTGGCGAGGGCTCCCTCCCTGCCCCCCAGTACCCCTGTCTGGCTGGGAGAGCTCCGATGGCTCGGGGGGGGTGGTCAGGGCGGCTCTGCCCCAGGTGCCCTCTGGGAGTGGGATGGTGGCCCAGGAGGGGCATCCTGCCCGGGCTCTCCCGCACCCCGCCTGGAGCCAGCGACCAAACAGCACCTCCCGGGCTGCCCAGCAGGCCCCTTGTGCCCCAGGAGGCAGAGGGTGGGGGCCCCGGTGCGGCCCCCCAGCGCGGCGGCTCTGTAGGCGGCAGTCGCTCAGGCCAGCAGGCGGCTGTACTCCGAGAGCGCCGAGGATTTCTTCACCCCGTCCCAGATCCGGGCCGCGTAGTGGAACCTGCCGGGGGGTGCACAGCATGTGGGTCAGCGCCGATGGCCGGGGGAGAACCCCCACCCCGCCCCCCGCAGCACAGCGCCCCCCAGGACATCGGGGCCAGCCCTGCCTGCCATGGGAGCGCCCCCACCCCGCCCCCTGCACCACAGCGCCCCCTAGCGCCGCCCTGGGGCATCGGGGCTGGCACTGACTGCCGGGGAGAGCCCCCACCCCACTTCCTGCAGTACATCGCCAAACTTTCTTACCCATAATCCTTTGCCCCATAATCTTCTACCCAACCTGCCTACCCATAATCCCCTGCTCCCTCAACTGTATCCGGCCCCTCACCAGTTCTTCTCCGTCAGGATGGTGTGGGAGAGCTGGGGCCGCGCCATAGACATGATCTGGCTGCGTAGCTTGGCCATGAGCGACTGGAAGCTGGGGTGCCCCTTGTACCCAGGCAGCAGGGAGAAGAGGGGGCCACCCCCAGGAGCTGCAAGCACAAGGGGGGGAGAGAATGAAAATAGGGCTGCCCCGAGGACGGCAGGGGGCAGAGGAGGGCACTGCCCTAGGGACCGCACTCAGGGACCACAAGGGGGCATAGGACAGCGCCGCCCTAGAGGCCACGCCCCAGGACTGCAGATGCCTGTTCCCCAGCCCAGGGGGAGGAATACACACAGCGCCACCTAGGGCAGCACAGAGGGACAGCAGAGTAGGACAACTCCGGGGGCGGGATCCCAGCTCCCTACCTGCTCTGGGGAAAGTGTCGTCGGCGTCACTGTCTGCGAATGGCAGCAGGAAGAGATTCACCTCCGTGTCCAGGTAGTCGTAGGGCAGGCCAGGGAAGATGTTACACTCCAGCATGGAGAGCGTGCCTGAGAGACAGAGACAGAGTGTGGCACTGGGGGGCGCTGTGCTGCAGGGGGCAAGGTGGGGGGCTCTCCCCTGGCAGTCAGGGCTGGCCCCAAAGCCCAGCACAGTACTACGGGGTGCTGTTACTTTTGAGGTGAGAATCACACCCAAGCCTCCAGCCATTCCTGGTCATTCCAAATCCCCCAGCAGGAGCTGGGCCATTAGCTCTGCGTCCTGGAACCCAGGTGTCCGGGGCCCCGTTCACCCCACCCCCGCGCGGGAGGAGCTAGTGGGGAAGGCTTACCCTTGTATTTCAGGTGCGAGTGCATCATGATTTTATCGATAACCATGTGCATCTGCTTCAGGTTCCGGGGACAGAAATTCTCCCGCTTGGCCTTGTTCTGCAGGAAAACTGGAGCGAGGGGCAGAGACGCCGGGGGGGGTGGGGGGAGAGAGAGAGGATATTCAGCCTGGACATCACTGCACAGACCAACACCTGCTAGAATAACCTGGCCCCAATTCACCAATGGAGCGCTAGGGGGCGCTGTGCTATGTGAGCAGGGTGGGGGCTCTCCCTGGCAGTGAGGGCTGGCCCCGATGCCCCAGGCTGGCACTAGGGGGCGCTGTGCTATGTGAGCAGGGTGGGGGCTCTCCCCTGGCAGTGAGGGCTGGTCCCGATGCCCCAGGCTGGCACTAGGGGGTGCTGTGCTGCAGGGAGCAGGGTGGGGGGGCTCTCCCTGGCAGTGAGGGCTGGTCCCGATGCCCCAGGCTGGCACTAGGGGGCGCTGTGCCGCACGGGGCAGCGGCTGCTCACCGACGTGGGGATAATACTCTGTGCCCTCGTCGGCGCCCGAGGAGCCGGTGGACTCGTGGCTGGGGGAGGGCGTGGAGGGTTTCACCATCTCGGCCGTCTGCAGGAACCTGCCGTGGGGACACAGGAAGCTGCGGTTAGTGGGAAGCTGGGGGGGCCTGGGTCCCCGGGGCCATTTAGTGCCTGTGGGAGGGGCAGGGGGGGTTCCCTGTCCCTGCTGGGAACGGGGCTGAGACCTGGCAAACTTGATTCACACATGAATTGCTGAGCCTGGAGCCCATCCCCCAAAACAGCCTGGGGCCAGATCAGAGCTGGCGCACCCTAGAGGGGAAAGACCCCATGCCCCATTTCCAATCCCCCTGCCCCAAGCCAGCCAGTCCCAGCCCTGGGGCTGGATGGAAGCCAGCGCCCCCCAGGGGGAAAGACCCCGTGGTCCCATTCCCTGCCCTCCAGAGCCAGCAGGTCCCAGCCCTGGGACTAGAAGAGAGCTGGGGCCCCCTCGAGGGGAAAGGCCCCATGTCCCATTCCCCACCCTCCTGAGCCAGCCAGTCCCAGCCCTGGGGCTGGATGGGAGCCAGCGCCCCCCCAGAGGGGAACAGCCCCATGCCCCACTCCCCACCCTGCTAGGGGCCTTCTCACCTGTAC